GGAGTTACCCTATGAGGGAATTAACAAGACAATTGGAAGCCTTGGGTTGATTCATGGCATGCTGGTGCTTCCCCCTGGTGGTGAGGGTTAGAATTGTTAGGGCACATCATCTTGTTGCCTCCCTCCCTTCATTCATACTCAGCTCACGAGACCCAAAACTATGTTAGTCCATATGAGACCCTCAAAATCCTTGTGTTGGGGATGTAGCTCGGGCAGTAGGGTGATCACACAGCTTTCATGAATCTGGGGTTAAATCCCCAGCACTGCACAAAACCAAGAGTGGTGACACTTGCCTGTACTCCCAGCACTTGGAAAGGTGGAGGCAGGAGGATCGAAAGTTCAAGGGCATCCTTGGCTATACAGTGAGTTTGAGGCCAACCTGATATGTATGAGACCTTGTGTCAAAAACAAGATCCTTAGAGAAGGCAGCCCCTAATTCTACCCCAAGAGGATATCCAGTGGACACAAGAACCCTATACCTTGGACGGTGACATCCAGGGGATTCTAGGCAGAATGAGGTGTACTGTGATGAGAGGGGCATGCATCTCATCCATCCATCCATCCATCCATTCATTCATTCATTCGCATTTAACTTACATCTACCAGTCATCTTCCACCCACTAGGTTTACATGCCCAAGTTAACAAGAGCAGAAACTAAATGGTCTCCCTGACTTCTTCCCAAAGCCCCACAAAAGAAAGTTTGGGTTGGCCTAACCTGGAACAGCACTCCATCTTGACCCAACCAATCATGCGATAGACTCAAAAATGTAACTCAGCACTCAAAAGCTGAGACAGGAGGATTGCCACAAAATTGAGGGCAATTTGCCTCCACAGCAAGACTTTGTCTAAATAAAACAAATGAAAAGGTCATATAAAACTGGCATCCCACTTGTTTTATTTGCTGCTGTTCCTATTGTTAGGAATTTTTCTCATTTATTTAAGTTCTTAATTTTTATTTATTTATTTATTTATTATTTTTTTTTTTTTGGTTTTTCGAGACAGGGTTTCTCTGTGTAGCTTTGCGCCTTTCCTGGAACTCACTTGGTAGCCCAGGCTGGCCTCGAACTCACAGAGATCCGCCTGGCTCTGCCTCCTGAGTGCTGGGATTAAAGGCGTGCGCCACCACCACCCGGCTAAGTTCTTAATTTTTTTATTGTCATAAAATACTCAAAGGCTTAGGGCTGGAGGTGTAGCTCATTTGGCCAAAGGATTGCCTGGTGTGATGGTTAGTGTTGTCAATGTGACAGGCTCTAGAATCATCTGTAGAAAGGTCTCTGAATATGTCTGTGGGGGCTTATCTTGATTACCTTAATTGGGATGGAAAGACCTGCCCACAGTGGATCCCTGTGGATCCCTGGCAGGATCCTGGACTGTAGACAAAAAGAGTGGAGCATCATGCAGGTATCACTGTTTCTCATTGTGATTTGATGGGACCACTGCTTCCAGCCACCTTGATTTCTCTACCATGGTGGACTGTCCCTTGAACTGTGAGCTGAAATAAACCCTTTTTCCTTTAAGTGGCTTTTGTCAGGGTGTTTTATCACAGCAACAAAAACGAAACTAAGACACCCAGTGTGCACAAGACCCCGGGTTCCGTTCTCTGGACCACAAAACCAGTCGTGGTGGCGTGCACCCACGACCCTAGCACCCCACAGGCAGAGGCAGGAAGATCGGGAGTTCAAGGCTGTTTTCAAGGACATAACAAGTTTGAGCCCTGTCTAACAACAACATGAACTTCAAATGCCATTTACTTTGTACATTAAATTTAATTTAAAATACTCAGGTATACAGAGATACTGAAATGAATGTGCAGTGAGCAGTTCACACACCTACACCTCAATTCCACTCTCGTCAGCATTTTGTTTTGCAGTTGTCTCTAAACACCTGGTAGGGACTAATTCCATGACCACCCCCTCCACAAATCTTTGGATGCTTAAGTCCAAAGATGGCCAGGCATGGGTCAGCTGTCTATGCTGGAGAAGTGGCTCAGTGGATGGAGTACTTGCCTAGCATGCACAAAGCCCTGGGGGTGGAAAGCTGGGTGTGGCACCACCTTGACAACATGTAGAATTATTGGGAGAAGGGCTTCCCAACTGTAACTCTGCACTTAGGAACTGGGGCAGGAAAATTGAGTTCCTGGCCAGCCTAGGCTACATTCCAAGTTCAAGGCCCTGTCCCACAAACAAAACCCCTACAAGGTTGCTATTATTATATCCATTCTACAGATGCAAGGTGAGGTAAAGAGAGGCAGGCATTCCCGGGCTTCCTGGAGCTAAATTAGCAGGAGGTGACTGGATTCAGAGAAGGCACACGCAGTTTGCATGTATGTATGTGTGGACACTGTAACCATACTTAGCTTTTTATTTTTATTTTTTTGAGAAAGGTCTCCTATAGCCTAGACTGGCCTTGAACTCACTATGTAGTTGAAGATACCTTGGACCCCCAATTCCCCTGCCTCCACCTCTCCGGTGCTGGTTTACAGGTATATGTCACCACATATAGCATTAGTGCTGGGGGCTGAACCCAGGGTTTGTGCATGCTTGGCAAGCACTCTACAAACTAAGCCACTTTTATAGCCCTGTTCTTTGCTTTGTTTTGTTTTGTTGTTGTTTTGAGACAGAATTTTTCTTTGTAGCCCAGGCTAGCCTATTACTCACTACATAGACCCAACCTCACTTGGCTTTGAACTCCGATTTATAGTAATCGCCTGTCTCTGCCTCTCCAGCACCGGGCTTATAGATGTATTGCTGACAACAGGGAGCTCTTTTCCTTTTCCTTTTCTTTCTTTCTTTGGTGACAAGGACTCAGTACAGACCCCCAGAATGTCTTTGAATTTTTCCACCTTCCTGCCTCAGCCTCCTAAGTGCTGGTGTCACAGGCCAGTGACACTAGGCCCCGGTTCCATACTTACCTCCATTCTAATTGGAAGGAACTGATAGTGTTGGATGCCTCTACTGGACTCACACTACTCAGGGTCTTAGTTGGTCTCCTGACCCAGCTCACAAAGATTCAACCTGCTGTAGGGAGTATGGAAGGGTCCTCCAAGCTGAGCCATGAGCAGGCACCCCTCCAGCAGGAAGTAGAGACAAAATCCCCTGGCCTATGCATCGAAGACATCACAATGGCTGTGGCAGCTGGCCTCCTTTCTCCCCAGTGAGGCCTCTCCAAGGAGACTTCAGGAACTGAAAGCCTGTCCACTCAGAACCTGGAACCCAAGAACACTACTTGAGGAGCACTTCTAAAGCAGAGGACTCTCATGGCACCCAAATGGAACCATACCAATGGTGAGGGACCTCACTCGGGAGCTAGAAGAAGGCTTGGGAAGCAAGAATCAGGGGTGGGGGGGTGGGAGGGGTGGGGGGATGGGAGGGGTGGGGGGGACTATTTGCTGATCTGGGGCTGATCCCATCTTCCCCTAAGTCTCACTGAGCCCTACTACCCAGGTGACCCAGTAGGGACAATGGTTGGGTTAGTTCTCCAACATCCCCACTCTTGAAGCATCACAGACTCTACCAAGCAATACTAATGGCTCCCACATCAATACAGCATCCGGGCGGCACAGCACATAGGCCAGGGCAGGAGCCAGGATGTGGAGCTGCCCATATGCTGTGGCCTGGGAATGTGTCTGACCCCCTTTGAACAGTTTTCTCATTGGAATTCCTACCAATTCCATGTAAATAGTCAAGAGGATACAGGGTGTAGTGGTACACATCTTTAAACCCAGCACTCAGGAGGCAGACGTAGGTGGATCTCTCTAGTCTATATACTGACTTCCAGGACAGCATAGAGAAACCCTATCCCACATTAAACAAAATAAAATTAGAATCTAGGGTTTATTCACCGGCCCAGCTTGAGACAGGTTGACTCTAGCTGGTACTGGTCACATGCTTCATTTCTGACCTTTGGTTTCTTCTCTGGGGGAAAAAAAAAGCCTGAAACTAGCCCTAGACAGCTTCTAGGCCAACATAGCTGAGACACCTCTTGTCCCCAAAGTGGAGACAGTAAGGCCACATGGCCAGGGCTGCCTGTTCTCTGCTTAGTCCTGCTAGGGGAGGAGCTGTGAGAGGAAGCTGTGAGAGGAGGCTATGGAAGGAGGCTCTGAGGGGGAGCTCTGAGCAGAGAGGCCCCAGAGATCCACCTCTCGATACTAGCTCCTTCCCCGGAAGGGGCCAGGCCATTGGTGATCAAGCCCAGGTTCCCAGCAGGCACTTACAAGGTTGTACATGAAAATTTGGTGGGAACCTTACTGCCCATCCATATTAAGATCATGGTGGCTCCTTTTGGGTGTGATGGCTTAGACCAGTAATCTCAGCACTTGCGGCACTGAGGCAGGAGGATTGCTGCAAGTTCCAGGCCAGCCTGAATGAGATCTGAACTCAAAAAGCAAAGCTGGAGATGCAACTCAGCTGGTAGAGTGCTTGCTGAGCATGCAAGCAACCCTGGGTTTGATCTTCAGTACTGCAAAAACCGGACATGGAGGTGCAGGCCTGTAATAGGCAGAGATAGAAGGGTCAGATGTTCCCTGTGAGCCTGGGAGACACAGACCTTGTCTCAACTTCCTCCCTGCCACAAAAGCATCAGAGCCTCAGATGGAGCTCAAATATCCTGACTTCAGAGGTTAGGTCTCTGGCATCTAAAGCCTACCTGGTCCCCCATACTTACTAACTGAGGGACCTCAGGCAAGGTGTTCAACCCTTCTGAACCTCATCTCCCCACCTGCACAATCCGAACGATGCTTCATTGGTGAATTGGTGAAAGGGAGCATGGTGAAATTGGCACACAGTGTGGCCAATAGTAAATGGCCCTGAGCTATGTCTCACCCCAGACCTCTAGCACCTCTCCTATGGACAAGGAGGACATATGTGGATTCAGAAGTGTCTGAGTTCAAAACCTGGCCCCTCCACCTTCTGTCTGTGTAACTATGTGCAACTTTGTTCTTGGCCATGTGGTGGCTCCGGGTTGGCACATCTGAGCCCTGAGGCCTTGCTTCTTCTTTCAGACTCTCGGTCTTCTAAGGAGCCACCACCTTCTAAGGAGCTACCACCTCCTTATACCAGTCCTCAAACAGGAGCACAAGGGTCATCCCAGCCATACCGTGTGTACACCCAAGTCACACCAGTGATCCAGACCAGTAAGTATAGCAGCTGTCTCTCCTCGTCTGGCTCCCAGAAGGCCACTCACTAAGCTCAGTGCAGACAGCACTTTCTCTGGTGAGCTCTCCTCCCACAGCCTGAGAACTCTGAAGTCCCAAGGCTGGCTGGGCTCACATGGGGTTGGCGCAGCACCAAGAGATTCTGAGGCATCCTTTTCTACTGTGAAATTCTTGGGGATGGGGCTGGTATATAGTAGATGCTCAAGTAATATTTATGAAATGAATATCCAGCAAGCATATCGTAAGTGCTAGTCCACAGATGAGGTGAATACAGAGTCTCTAAGTTGAACCAGGGCTTTGAGACTCTAAACCAGTGTCCCAAGGAATTCCCGGGCATTCAAGGTTGACATGTTAGTGTTGTAGAATATTATTGTAAGGTTATTATTATTATTGCAACTTTTGTTTATGTTGCATTTGTTTAACTCTGTGAAGCTGTGTTACTGTGCCTCTAAAACACCCAATGGTCTAATAAAGAGCTGAATGGCCAATAGCAGGACAGGAGAAAGGATAGGCAGGGCTGGCAGGCAGAGAGGGGCAGAGAGGATATATAGAAGGAGAAATCTGGGAGGAGAAAAGAAGTAGCCAGAGAAGGAGGACCCCAGGGGCTAGCCACCCAGCTACACAGCAAGCCACAGAGTAAGAGTAAGATTTACAGAAGTAAGAGAATAGAAAATCCCAGAGGCATAAGTTAGATGGGATAAGTTAAGAAAAGCTGACAAGAAACAAGGCAAGTTAAGGCCAGGCTTTTATAATTAAGAATAAGCCTCCGTGTGTGATTTATTTGGGAGTTGGTTCGTGGGCCCCCCCCCCAAAAGAGCAAAAACAACCAACAACACATTAAACTGTATCAGCCAGTTTCACCTTGCTATAACAAACATGACCCTAGGAGCCCCCTTCAGATCACAAAGCCACAGCAAGCTTCTGTCGCTGTCATTACAGGTTAGGCAAGTGCTCTACCACTGGTTATATACCCAGCTCCTCCTGGGATTCTTTTCCCATTTTTTTTTCAGATTTATTTATGTGTATGAATGTTTTGCCTGCATGTGTCTATATACCACGTGTGCCTGGTGTACAAAAGCAAAAGAGGGACTGGAGCGATGGCTCAGCAGTTAAGGGCTGCGCTTCCAGAGGACCCGGGTTCAATTCCCAGCACCCAGATGGCAGCTCACAACTGTCTACAACTCCAGTTCCAGGACTTCTAACACCTTCACACAAACATGCAGGCAAGACACCAATGGACGAGAGAGAGAGAGAGAGAGAGAGAGAGAGAGAGAGAGAGAGAGAGAGAGAGAGAGAGAGGCCAAAAGAGGCAGGAATGGTGAGGGGTGTAGGGGTGTGTTTATTCTTTTCTTTCATGCGCCTGCTTTAAGGATGTTTAACCACAGGGCCTGGAAATCAGCTAATGCAAGGAACGAAAAACAGTGGGCTGGCTGAGTCTGGTAGGTTGTACTAGGAACTCCCCAAGCGGAAGGGACCACACTTAGAAGCAGAAAGGCTCCAGGGTTCCTAGGCCCTGTCCTTACTTGGGCTAGCTGGATTAACTAGGACAGATCATATGGCTGATAGGCAGGTACGTGGTGACTTGGGTGCACTGGTGAGCACGGGGAAGATGAGTCATGATGTAACAGGGGTGCCCAGGCAGAGGGTGCTGGAGACAGGAGGAAGAGGCTCTGATCTGACCACCCCCCCAGACATGTTCACTGGAGTGCCGAGGGTGACAACTTCCATGCCGATGCAGACCATATGTCCCTTCTGTGGGAGCCACATCATCACGGTGACAACCCCTGTCCCAGGCATCCTCACCTGGCTGCTATGCAGTGGCCTCTTTATATTTGGGTAAGCAGCGGGGACTGGGGACCTGGTAGGAAGGGGGTGGGACTGAGATGCAGCTGGAGACAGCTAGAGTAATAGAAGTAAGGAGTGAGGATGGTCCCAGACTGGGTTTCGAGAAGATAGCCCTCTGCCTGGGTGGCAGAGAATGGAGTGGGGATGGACAATGCCTGCCTGCTGGGCAAGTGGCCAAACAGGTTGCCATCACTACTACTGTCAAGAAAGAGAAGGCACAGTATGGCTCTCAGTCCTGCTCTGCAGAACCACCCCAAGGAACTGAGGCCCACCCAAAGGTGTGATGAGGGTGCAGGCCAGCACAGGGCTGCTCAGGGGTGATGTGGGTACAGGCCAGCACAGGGACCTCTGCTCAGGGGTGATGTGGGTACAGGCCAGCACAGGCAATCTGCTCAGGGGTGATGTGGGTGCAGGCCAGCACAGGCAATCTGCTCAGGTGAACACACACTGCTTCTGAGGCTGCAGGTGCTTCCTGGGCTGCTGCTTCCTCCCCTTCTGTGTGCGGAGCCTCATGGACGTGAGGCACTCCTGTCCTGTGTGCCATCAGGAGATCTTCCACCACCACCGCCTGTGACCTGCACTATAAACAGCAATGAGGAAACATCAGTGTGTATGTGTGCCCCTGCATACCCGTCCAGCAGGGGGGTGGCGTGAGCAAGTGAAAACATCCTCCACCCGCCTGCTGCTTTGTCCATGGGTGATGGATGGCACCTGGGTATGCCTGGGTCACAACATGTGCTGGTTGGTATCATCTTGGGGAGGGGTGGAGTGGATGCCCATCCATCTCCAGGTTCAGCCTCCTCTAACTACAGATGCCACAGCTCTACCAGCCACCTCTTTCCAAGCCCCTTCCCATCAGCTCCAAATTCTACCCCTTTGGGAAAACCTGGTACCCACACCCTCACCTGTATAACCTCCCCTACACACACATCCAGGTTCACAGCTGCTGCCTCTTTCCCCAGGGACCAGTGCACTCCATCACAATGCAATACGGAGAGCCTTGTCCTTTCTTCCCTGCCTGCCTTGGGTCTCTGCAGTCTGGATCCTCCGTGCCGGGGGGTGGGGGGTGGGGGAGTGGTGGTGGGGGGCTGCAGATGTCCTCTGGTCACTCCTAGCAGGTTTCCTCCGTTTGTCCTCAGCTTTGCTCAAGGCCCCTCCCCCACCTCTGTAGGCATCTGTCCTCCCTTCCAGGTCCCACAACCTTCTCCCCTGGATGCCTGAGGCATCCAGCAAACCAGCATGTTGGGCTGTGGAGATAGCCCCATAATTAAAGGGATTTGCCTTACAAATATGAGGAGCAGAGTTTAGACCTCCAGGACTCACACAAGTGTTGGATGGGCAGGGTGGCCCACCTGTAATTCCAGCCTCCGAAGTCACAGACAGGGGAATCCCAGAGCAAGCTGGCTAGTGAGACTAGCTTTATCAGAAAGCTCTGGGTTTGATTGAGAGACCCTGACTACGTAAGGTAGAAAGTTTGAAGATGATCCCCACATCAACCTTGGGCCTCCACATGCATGTGCACATGTGCAGTAACACCCACATGTGTGCAAACATACAAAAACGGGGCGGGGGACCTCAGCAGGTCTTAACGAGGCTGCTCTCCTGAAGGGTGGGCGCATGGGGAGGGCATGGCCACCTCCTCTCTCCCAGACACCTTGGATGCAGCCCTTGGTTCCTGTCCTGTTCCCCTCCACCTTGTCCCTTCCTTGGCTCCGGATTCTCCTGCTCCTTCCATTCCTCACCAGCCAGCAGCCTGCGGCCAACACAGACAGGGTGATGCAGTTAACATGGACAAGAACTCACCACTTATTTGGGAGGCAGAGTTAGGAGGATTGCCAGGCTTAGTTACATAGCAAATGCCTGTCTCTTAAAAAAACAGACAAACCTGTTGCTGTGAAGGTGTTATCAACTTGACAAAACCCAGAATTGTTTGGGAGAGAGCCTTGCCTGTGGGGATTACATTCTATTTCTGGAGGTGGGAGGGTCTGCCCTCTGCAGGCAGCGCCATTCCCTGGCTGGGATCCTGGACTGTAGCAGTGGAGAAAGGGAAGTGGGTTGCAGCACACACGCATCATTCTCTGCTTCCTGACTGTGGGTGTCATGTGACTAGCTCTCTCAAGCAGCTGCTGCCTTCCTTCGCTTTCCCACCATGAATTGTGAGCTAAAATAAACCCCTTCTCCTTTATAGTCTTCTGGTCAGAGTATTTTATCACAGCAATAGGAAAAGAGACTGACATTCACTTACACCAGACATCTGCCCAGAACTCACAGCTCGCTGAGTTCACCTGAAGCCGTCTGTGAGTGGTTCCTGCTTCCCTCGACTCTGTCAGGCATCCTCCTCACTATGCACCCCAGGACCCCACCGACCCATCTCTCCAGCAGGCCTGCCTGTCTATGCACCCCAGGACCCCACCGACCCATCTCTCCAGCAGGCCTGTCTATGCACCCCAGGACCCCCACCAACCCATCCCTCCGGCAGGCCTGTCTATGCACCCCAAGACCCCCACTGACCCATTCCCTCCAGCAGGCCTGCCTGTCTATGCACCCCAAGACCCCCACTGACCCATTCCCTCCAGCAGGCCTGCCTGTCTATGAACCCCAGGACCCTCACTGACCCATCCCTCCAGCAGGCCTGCCTATGCACCCCAGGATGCCCACCAACCCATTCCTCCAGCAGGCCTGCCTGCCTATGCACCCCAGGACTCCCACCAACCCATCCCTCTAGCAGGCCTGCCTGTCTGTTCTTCTCCATCATGTCATTCTTCCAGACAGATTCACGAGCTCCGTTCAGCCTAACACCCGCATGACCCAAGAGAAACTGAGGCAGGGGCTATAGGAACTGGGAAGGGATGAGTCTTGCGGAGTCGTTTCTGGAGTGGGCTCCCCAGTGAGGTTTACTCCTTACAGTTCCTTCCCAAGCTTACAGTGTACAGAAGACAATGGGAAGGAAGTGGCTGTTAAAAGACCTCAAACTGGCTTGTGAATAAGACTTCTGGGTAAAATGAGGACCACTGGACAAGATCAGGAAGGTGATGTGGGGAAATCCAGTACCAGAGAGTGGGGTTTTGTGTTTCTTTGAAGTCAGTGCTGAGGATTGAACCTAGGGCTTCGTGTCTGATAGGCGAGCGCTCTACCACTGAGCTACATCCCCAATCCTCATTTTCACTTTGAGACAGGGACACACTAAGTGCCCAGGCTGGCCTTGAGCTTGTTATGTATTTCAGACAGGCCTGGACCTCATGACCTCCTGACCCAGCCCCTTGATTGCTGGTTTGACAGGTGTGTACCTGTCAAAAATGGAGATTTAATTTGAAAAATACAAAAAAAAGTATTGTCCTACCTATCAATGTTCAAACAGAGGCAGAAGAGACTTGTGGAAAGCATTTGAAAGAGGAAACAGGAAGCTACAGGCACCTGAAAGACACTGGCAACTGGTTTGTGCCGAGGTTCCCTGTAATACCCACACTCATCACAGGAGGGCAGTGCTGCACAACTGACAGGTAGAAACCCAGGCCCATTAACTAGACAGGCAATCAGAAACTCAGGTCTGTCTCCCTGTAGCCCCTGCCATTAGCATGACATGAAAAGGTGTACACGTGTGAGGAGATACACTTGAGTGTGGGCTGGAGGCTTGGTGGGATGGCATTTTCAGGCTGGGATTCCTGGAAGCCTCAAAGTCAGGTGAGGTACAATGCTCCAGGCCAGCAGGTCTCTCTAGACCCCAGGGAGGCCGGACAGCTGATCTAGCACCTGCAATGGAGGCCCTGAAATGATTGATGGGAGACTAGACTTCAGAAATGGAATATGCTACAGCTGCAAGCCGTAACTGCATGGAAACAGGCCTGACACCAGATCACACCGCCACAGTGAACTGTTGGACAAACAGGCTTCTGAGACTCCCAGGCCTGACACCAGATCACACCGCCACAGTGAACTGTTGGACAAATGGCTTCTGAGACTTCAAGACATGGGATGCCAAGTCAGCACAGGCCTTAGAGTCTCGACAGGACAGAACTTGCCTCGAGAATGAATCACATTTACCTTGAACTACTCAACTCCAACTTCCCTTGTTCAGATTCCCCACCCCCCCCCCCCACACCCGCCTCCCCAGGCAATGTGTGGCTTTGTCTTGTATTGTAGACAGGTCCAGACAGGAACGTCTCAGTCCCGGGACAAAACCAACTGTCACTCCACATCACTGGACTTCAAGGTTCTGCTCAGACTGACCCCACAAATCAATCACAGGTTTTGGCGAGTACTGTAACAGCAGTACTGTTGCTCAGTGTGAAGCTGCTGACCATACAGTGAAGCCTCTAACAGCAGGTGCTGACACTTCTAGGCTTCTGTCTCTAGCCAACCCACCCTCTGGGTCAGAGCCAAGAGACTGAGTAGTCTAATCCCACTCAGCCTTATCACGGGAGCAGACAGGTGGGTGTGGTGTGGTGTGGTCATGGGCATGTCTGGTATCAGCAGTCACCAAGGCAGGCTTCTGTGCCCACTCCCAGCCCACTGAGGTCAGCTCTGCCCAAGTCCACCCTGGGAATCTGCTATCCAGCGAGTCTAAGGACAGGGAGAAGCGGGGCAACTTTTGATGTGCCCCTAGCTTCGGTCCACACCACTGAACAGGAAGGTTGACATTGTCCCTTCAATAGTAATGAACCCCAATGCACTCCCCTAACTTCCTCAGCCTCTTGCTCTACTGAAGACTGAGCTTAGAATGTCCAAGAGCCTTGATGCTCCTGGCTGGCAGGGAAGATGGGTGAGCTCACCTCAGAGACCATGGGGCTTCATGGAGACTGCTCTCCAAGGGTACAAGCTGGGAGCTTACTATCTACCCCCAACATCCAGCCAGCAGCACATGTCTGTGATCCTTGGAAGGGGCAGACTACCTCTCATACCTACACAACTTTGCCCCTAGAATGTTCTGAAAGGATGGGGGACCCCAGCTTGCAGGTCACACTCACAAATCAGCAGCACACAACCACCCATGTCCACCAAGACTAAAGGTCATGAAGAGACTCGGTCTTGATGGAGCTTTTTTTCTGCCCAGGAAATGAACTCTTAGGGTTTCCTTCTGATTGTCACAGGGTGAGAAAACTGGACTAGAGCTGTGCTAACACAGGAGGCACACGTGATCAAGTGACTGCCCAGTTCCTTGGGAACTGATTAGCAGCCACAGGCAGCCGGAAACTATGCTGTGAAGAGTGGACACAGAGCCTCTACCATAGCTTCAGCCCGGCAGCAAAGGGTAAACAGCCTGGCAGAGCCCAGGTTATACCATATAAGGGTGCACACCCAGAGACAGCCCTAGTTCCTACAAAAACACCTGGCTTTGTCCCTGGTCACCTTCTTCTCCCTTCAGAGGCTGCTAGAGCCTTCCCTCGGTGCTAGGGTATTTCCCTTCCAGCCAGGGTGCTGGAAAGCCCTGTAGAAACCTGTGGCAAAAAAGCTCTAGGAACCCAACCCTACCCACTTACGAGACTGTCAGGGTTGGGTTGTGACACTGAAGACCACCACAAAGATCACCTGTGGCTCAAAAAGGTACCAATGTTAACCACCAGATATTTTGTGGGATTGCCAGCCCCAGGATTCAGTGCCACAATCCTAATCCACTAGAAAAATGTCTCCACACATCCCATGTTGACAATTTCATACAGCCTGATGCTAAAACTTCCTCCACTCAGACTCTTCAGCCAGGTCACTGCAGATAAGAGCCTGAATCCCAAGCAGGGAGTTGACTTTGTTGGGCTGCAAGGCTCTGGGACCAAGGGGCAGAATCAGCCTCCACAGGCTCCCATCCCAGGGCCACGCCTTACCCCACGTGGTACATACCAGACTTAGTGTTTACTGAGACAGTGGGTCACTCTGTGGCCTAGACTAGTCTTACATCTGAGATACCCTCCCACACCCCGGTCAGGGACTAACAATCATTCTGATCAATGTAACTGCTTGTTTTCCTAACAAAAACAGCTGGTTAGCAACGATGGGATCCTCACCTTACTCCTTGCCAGATACTCTGATCACAAGGGCAGCTGGCTCACTCTTGAAGGCCTCATTACTGTCAGAG